CCCAAAATCGCCGTATTAAAGTTTACACTTTAGCAAAAACAGGAGGATTGGCGTGGGTGTTAGCTCAGGGCTGATCTTCCTCACAAAAAAAAAAAAAAAAAAAAAAAAAGAACTGAGTTGTTGCCACAGCAGATGAGCTGGCGTTGGGGTCGCCCAGGGAGTTGGCCTCTCGGTCCTGGCCCGGGCTCTGCCCACAGGGTCGGGGTCAGGGTCCGCTGGGGGCGGGGCACCGGGGGTGAGCCGTGTGTCTGCTACAGACCATCCGGGAGGTGCAGCCCGACGTGGTGGTCGTGGAGCTCTGCCAGTACCGCGTGTCCATGCTGAAGATGGACGAGAGCACGCTGCTGCGGGAGGCCAAGGAGATCAGCCTGGAGAAGCTGCAGCAGGCCGTGAGGCAGGTGCGGCCGTTGGGCGGGCGGGCGGGCTGTGCGGCCACTTGGCCACCTGCCCGGTCAGCTGCGCCCTGCTGAGCCCCTGGGGGACCCGGGGCTATGCTCCCTGCTCTGCCCACCTGTGAGCCCGAGGCCCCTCTGGTGACAGGGCCCAAGGTGGGCCTGGCCTTCCGGTCAGCGAAGAGGTGGCCAGCCCACTCCAGGGCTCTGACTGGTTGAGGAGCCTTCACCCTGGGCTGTGGGGGAGGGGAGGCAGTTTTTGGGTTTCAGACAAGGGAGGAAAAGACGGATGACGCTTCAACTGCAAGGCAGGAGCTTGTCTGGGGCCCCAAGGACCCTGGGTTTGCTGAGCAGGTCACTGGCGACAGGGGCTGGTCTCAGAGTGCCATCTGGCCCACTTGCCAGCCCAAAGCGGTACCATCCCCACCCCACCCCCCCGCATCTCCTGCACGTGGGCCCTGGCCACAGGGCCGGAGACCACCCACGTGGGACCACCCACACCAACAGGCGTCCTGAGGGGGCTGTGGGCAGAGGAGTTGGGGTCTGGGCTGGTGGGGTTGGGGTAAAGGGGTGTCCACAGGGCAGAGGTCAGGCACCCAGTCCATGACTATGCGGCCCTGAGGTGGGCCTGCCCTGGGAGGGTTGTTCAAAGGGCCGAGGGACAGATGAAGGGCCAGGAGGGGCCTCAGAGTGTCCACTGTGGGTGTGGGCACCCACTGCCAGGCCCTGCTGGATATTGGCTCAGGGCCCTCGCTCATCCCCAGAGCACGGGCAGGCCTCGCCTCGTGGCCACAGGAAACCCTGTGCTTTGTGCTGGCATAGCCGCTGACTGCGGCGCCCTCTCCCTGCAGAACGGGGTCATGTCTGGACTCATGCAGATGTTGCTGCTGAAGGTGTCGGCCCACATCACTGAGCAGCTGGGCATGGCTCCTGGCGGCGAGTTCCGGGAGGCCTTCAAGGAGGTGGGCCTGGGCTCCCAGGGGGCGTGCTCAGAGCTTAGGAGCCGCCACGGTGCCAAGGCTCTCCCAACTGACACCCGGCCTCTGCCCAGGCCAGCAAGGTGCCTTTCTGCAAGTTCCACCTGGGCGACCGGCCCATCCCCGTCACCTTCAAGAGGGCCATCGCCGCACTTTCCTTTTGGCAGAAGGTCAAGTTGGCCTGGGGCCTGTGTTTCCTGTCGGACCCTATCAGGTAGGGCTTACCTGGCCCCCTGGAAGGCAGTCCCTTCTGGGAATAGTAGCCAGTAGCCAGGGGATAACCTGTAGAGTGCCCGGCCCACGCCTGGCCTGGCCTGCCTGCCATGCGGCATGTCCTCTTGTTCTGGGGCTGAGCCTCCTCCAACAGGGCCTTCCTGCCCCTTCCTTCCTCGGCGATCCCAACAAAGGGCGCCAAGGCCCTGCTCTGGGTCAACCGCGCTGGCTTCCTGCTGGCCGCCCCGTCCCTCGGGGCTGGCAGCGTGCCCTTCTGCCCCCAGCAAGGACGACGTGGAGCGCTGCAAGCAGAAGGACCTGCTGGAGCAGATGATGGCGGAGATGATCGGCGAGTTCCCTGACCTGCACCGCACCATCGTCTCGGAGCGCGACGTCTACCTGACCTACATGCTGAGGCAGGCCGCCCGGCGCCTCGAGCTGCCGCGCTCCTCTGACGGTGACGGCTGGCCCGGGCGGGGGCTCCCTGGGGACCCGTCGTGGCCAGGTGGGTGCTGACGCATCGCTCCCCTGACAGCCGAGCCCAGGAAGTGCGTGCCCTCCGTGGTGGTGGGCGTCGTGGGCATGGGCCACGTCCCCGGCATCGAGAAGAACTGGACCACTGACCTCAACATTCAGGAGATCATGACGTGAGTGCTGCCCGCCCACCCCTTGCACTCCCCAAGCACAGAGCCGGGCTGGGGGCTGGGCCGGGGCTGGAGGAGCACACGCCCTCCAGCCAGGCCCAGCCCGCCCTCCCTCCCCCAGCGTCCCCCCACCGTCCATCTCCGGCAGAGTGTCCCGGCTGGCCGTGAAGGCTGCCTTCTTGGGCCTGCTGGGCTACAGCCTGTACTGGATGGGGCGCCGCGCCACCAGCCTGGTCCTGTCACTGCCCGCCGCCCAGTACTGCCTGCAGAGGGCCTCCACGGCCTGGCCGCACAAGTAGGAAGGACAAAGGGAGCCACCCCGTCCGAGGGGGCCGCACGCGGCTGCTCCCGTGTCGCAGCCGAGGAGCACGGGGGCCAGCCCCCTGAGGAGCTTCTGGGTGCCACCCCCTGTGGGGGTCCAGGCCCAGCCTCCCCTGCCCTCCCCCATCCTGCCCAAATAAAGAATTATTTAACTGCTCTGAGCTCAGGCTTCCCAGCCACCGCTCCCCCTCAGGGGCTGTTCACGGGGCTCACGGGCATCGATTGGACAAGCTGGTGGGGGGGCTGAGGTGCATGCTGCGCCACCAGCCTCCGGCCCAGCCTCACTGTGCCTTCTCACATGCCTGCAGCAGGAGTGCCTGGCCCGGGAGCATCTCACGGAGGGGTCTGAGCCAGTGGGTCCTGGGCTGGCACATCTGGGAAGGGACGGATTGCCCCACACAGCTCTGGCGTGGCTCCTGGGAGCCGTCCTCCCAAGAGGGCAGCTTGGCAGCCCCAGACGTGCGCCAGCACTGGCTCTGCTGCAGAGATTGTGGGGTTTTGGCTTTTAAAAATGTCTGAACTTATTTTTACTCAGGTAATTTTAACTTAAAACAAACTGAAGCAAATGTCAGGAAATACTAGCCTTAAATCTGGTTGGGACAAAGAGGACGTCTTTTTCTTGGGGTCTCCGTCCTGTGAGGGTGAGCGCATGGGAGGGTCAGCGTTGGCAGCAAGGGGCCAGGCCAGCCTCGGGACGCTGCCCTTCCAGCTGCCCCCTTGGTCACCTCCAGGCAGTGGAGGGGTCCAGGGCTGCCGCCCTCTCGGGTGTGCGCCTGCCCGGGCCGTGGGGGGTTGAACCTGCTTCCTCTGCATCTGGCAGGGGGACCCAGGGGTCGCCCCGACCCTCAGTGGAGGGGAGGGCATGTCCACTAGGGCCCGCCAGTTTGCAGGTGCCCACCTCGGGGTGTGCGGCCGGCCCACACAGCACTTCCGCCCAAATCGTCACTCGTGTGCACAGTCAGTCGCTCCTGGTTGTCTGTTTACGACGTCGCGTCTGTGCAGCCCACCTGGGGCCCAGGACCACATTTGATTGTTTGTGTTGACTCCATGTCTGACCAAATCAGGTGAAACCACGGCCATGAGTGGGCCGGGGAGCCCTGGGCTGGCTGGACCGTGTCTTTCCTGTCATTCATGCGTTCGTGTACGCGTTCCTTAGAAACTGAAATAAAATCTTATTTTGGAAGCTCCTGTTTTGTGAAATGTGTGGAACCTGGACTCAAGTGACAGGGAGGGGGTGCTCCCCTGGACCACAGTGCACAAGGGCAGCAGGGGGGACGGGCCTGGGCTGAGCGGCGGGATGCTGGCGGTACTTCCTTGGGTCCTGGGGGGCTTACTGCCGCCACCAGCCTCTCAGCCCAGGATACAGGGCCCGGCGCTCTGGCATCCACCCATCCCACGGGTGGACCCTGGTCCAGTGGGGGCACCAGCCAAGGGGAAGTGTGCTCAGAGGAGCCCCCTGCCCTCACCCCCCTGGTCCCCGCCCTTCTTGCCCCTGACCCTGGCCTGCACTGGCCTGTGGGAGGGGAGGAGGTGGGGTGAGCCCAGTGGTCTGAACAAAAGGCTCTGTGGGGACCAGCAGCTCGGATTTGCCCAGAAAGAGGACAGCGAGCACTGAGGGTGGAGTGGACCTTCCCACGGGCGGGCTCAGAGGGAGGCTGGGAGCACAGAGGGCTTGGCTGGCAGGGTTGCAGGGTGGGCTCTTCCTCCATGATGTCTGCCTCCCACCCACTCTGTGATGGGTCTCGTTGCTCTCTGCCTGTGTCCTGGGCCAGCTCCATGGTACAGCATCAAAGGCTGGTAAGAGTGGCTGGTGAGCTGGTGGGTCTCACTATCCTAAGGTAGGCTGAGGGCTCCCGAGGCTGCCCCTTACTGGGCTCTTATCTCCACAGATGGTGCTGCTGGGACCTCAAGGTATGGCTGGACAGGTGGGAGAGGGAGGGGCAGGCTGGGCACAGGCTGGGCAGCCTCTGATCTGTCACCCGCAGGTCCACACCCAGCAGGCCTCCCCAGGTCCTGGGTCCCTGCCTGCAACAGCCTGGGGGAGGGGCAGACGAGGACAAGGCCCTGCTCTAATCCCATGTTAGGAGGGCTCAGCTGGACTTGGGGCAACTCCCAGACCACTGCTGGGCAGGGAGGAGCAAGGTGGGGAAGCCAAGGCAGACCCTCCAAGGGCAGCAGGTGAGGTCCACGTTGGACCCGTGTGGGGAGAGGTGGTGTCCAGGGGCAGCAGGAGGAACCAGGAATCAAGCCTCTGGCCAAGAGGGCTGGAGGCCATCAAATGCATGAAGCCCAAGGGACAGCCACTTCCAAAAGAGAAAGGGCCTGAGGCAGGTGTGGCTGGAGGTGAGGGGATGGTGGCTGCCTGTCTGCTAGGACCAAGGTTGTAAATCGTCTGCTGGATGGTTGCGGTGGCTCTGCTGGGGCTCTGGTTCTGGTCATCTGGAGAGCACCGCCCCTTCCCAGGCCCTGACCCCTCCTGGCCCGTGCCCCCCAGGGGAGGAACCGCTCTCAGATCTGGGTGGAGAGCCACAGGGCTCCAGTGCTGTGTACGCCACCCAGCCAGAGGGAGCCAGCGCCCCTTCCAGGTGAGCAGCCTGTAGCGTGGGGGGTCAAGGAGATATTTTGTGTCTATCGCTTTGCCAAAAACAAGAGATGTTACTGTTTAAGGTTGGCAGGGGAAGGGACAGGCCAGGCACTGCTGGTGGGGCATCGGCCATGGCAACTGGCCTTCTAGAGTCCATCCTCAGACCACACCCGGGCGCAGAGATGTTTGTGGAGCATCGGTTATAGTCAGGAAAGGCTGGGAGGGACCTAAATGTCCACCTTTAAGGGAATGGACAGAGAGCGATGCCCAGGATACCATGCGAAGTGAAAAAAGGAAGCTACACAGTAGGGAATAAATAACACACACCCAACTAGGGGGGCAGCCCCAGGGCCTGGGAGTTACTGGGAATCTCCGCCCTATTTCCGAGAATTTGAATTTAATACAGTGCAAATTTATCTTACATTCACAAGCAGGAAAACAACAAGGTTTCATTTTTCAAATAAATAAAAAGCACTTAGGAGCAAATCGACATCCTTCTTCTCTCGGACAGAGGAGCAGGCCTGCGTGGATCCGCCCAGGCACTGCCAGAGGAGGCCCCTGACATGACTGCCCCAGGTTTTCTGTGATATGCATGTGGACAGTGGCTGGACGGTGACTCAGAGTGGAGACTGGACTTGGGGAGGTGCTGGCAGTGCAAATAGGGCTTTGGAGACTGGGAGGTAGGAGGGCCGTGCTGCCTGTGGGGCACAGGGGTGTAGCCAAGTGCCCCAGCGCCTCGTCTTTGAGGGCAACACTGTGTGCCGCATAGGCAGCCAAGCCTCATTGAATGTTCAAGCCCGGCTGTCCGCTCAGAATCCTAGCAGGCTGGGACGGAGGAGGGGCCGAGCCCAGCTCCTGCCCAGCCTGGCCCCTCGGGCCCTGCACTGCCAGCAGCACCTGCCCATCCAGGAGGCCAATCAGCCCAACAGTGAGGTCAGAGGCAAGGTCACCAGGGCTGGGAGGGCTGCCGCCCCTCAGTGCTGACCTGCTGGAACCCTTGGCACCCACTTGGTGTCCCCTCTGGCTGCAAGCTCAGGGAGGGCAGCCAGCAGGGCACAGAGCCTGGCACTCACGGGCCCTCCATAACCCAGTCCCACCAGATTCCAGAGTGTGGGTAAGACAGTGGGGTGAGGGGGTCAGGAGATGGGTGACGAGGGCCTGGAGAAGGGGGTGGGGGTAACACCAGGCTCAGGCTGGGTCTCCTAGGCAGATAGGAAGGAGGCTGGGAACAGCGGGCTCTGCCAGCAGGCCAGGTGGAGAAGACCCCAGATAGGTCCAGGGGGAAGGTAAGCTGTCAGGCTGCAGGAGGGGGCTCCAGGGTGCCAACCATCTACGGGGACCTTACCACACTGTCACCCTCATCTGTGTGACCCCCTCACCCCATGCAGAAGGTGGTATCATTGTCCATCTCAGGGATGAGGACCCTGAGCTGAAGAGGAGTTGAGGGGTTCCTTGAGGTCGCCCAGCCGCCAGGGGCAGAGCTAGTTCACAAGAGGTCTGTGAAAGTTCCAGGAGAAAATTCTGGAGGGGCTCCTTGAAGTTAAGGGTAGACTCGTGGGGCTTCTGGAATAGAGTAGCCCCAGCCAAGAGGGAGCTCCTGTGTTTGTCACGGGTCTCCTGCCCAGCTCCCGGTCTCAGGTTTGACCTCAGGGCCAGGTGGGAGAGGGGATTGGGACCCTGCGTCATCGTCCCCCCTCACCTCCAGGATCACGTGCTCCACGCGGGCATCAGCAGTGGGCTCAGGGGAGCTCCACAAGGCTCTTCTGACCCGAACCCGAGTCATTCTGCCACACTGACCCCAACTCCTCACCTGGGGGGGGCCCTTTAAGGCCAGGCTTGGCCACCCACCCCTGCGCTCACCCTAACCTCTGGGGCATCTATAGGGCGGTTTCTCTGAGCTAGGCGCTGTTCTGTGGGGACTGGCGCCCAGATCATCAAGGCTCCTGCTCTCCCAGAGCCTGGGGGAGAAGAGACATAGAAACAGGAAAATAAGGGAATGAGCTGTTTCAGAGAGAAGTGCTGTGGCAGGAAAACCACCGGGTGGCACGAGGCGCTGAAAGAGAGGCGTGGACAGGCTGACCACGCGAGGAGTCTGCTCCAAGCGGCGGGAGCGCGGGAGCAGAGGCCCCGCACGAGGGAGGCGCCGGCGGCCCTGCCCCTCTCGGAAGAACAGTCCCTGCCGGATCCCGACAGACGCCTCCTCTGTCCCTCCCGTCCCGGGCGCGGCGCAGCGCAGAACGATCCGGCAGACCCCCAGCGCAGCGTGGGCGGCCGGAGCTCGGCTCACCCGAGTCCCCCGGGGACGTCACAGCCTGAGTACGTGTGTCCCAGGCCGGGCATCGCGGACCTGCTGCTGTCACCCTGCACGGCCCAGTCCCCTCTGCCCGCTCGATCCCGCGTCGCAGCCGGGACCCACCGACAGCTCGCGGTCCCCCAGCCTCCCCGGACGGCCGCGGGCCGGAACCGCGGAAGCGGACAGGCGGACGCCGCAGCCAATCAGAGCCAGGCTTCCGCGGGCCCGGCCCGCGCAGGCACAGCTGCGGACAGCGCCCCCCGGGCGATTGGGCGGCGCGGCGCGCGGGGCGGAGCTTCCGGTCTCAGCGGCGCCGCGGA